AATAAACATCTGCAACTGATCAATTTGATGAACTAGAGTCTGAACTTTGAACACTGCAAATGCATCAGGAAAAGCAACATTGTGATGTAAGGTAGCATGTCTATGTTAATGATGATTATAAAACTGGTGATGCTGCTCTGACATCAGCAGAGCAGAGAGAGAGAGAGAAAAGTGATCAAAACTGAAAGTTGAGCAGGACAGAAATACTGTATCAGACAGCAACAGCCACTATATCATGGTGCAAATAAAGATATAACAAGGTAAATTGAGAGTGAAAGAGAATTACCCCACATTAAAGGCAAGCTGGAGGTGCAAGTGACTCAGAGCAGTCTAACAAGATCTATCAGATAGACAAGGCTGATCTAACAAGTGCAGCCACTAAGAGTGTAGTATCTGAAACAAGAGAATACAGGCAGTCTAGAATCCAGAAAGAGACAACCATGCGGGCTTCAGTTTATGACAGACATGCAATCTATAGAAATAGCTGCAGCACACGTTTGCAGCAGAGATCTCTCGAAGCAGAAGTTATCAGGACTCTTTGTCCCAGGAGGCAGTCACATCCCTTAACCAATAATCTAGATTTTAGATTTCATTGTTACATGTACCCAAGTACAGAATTACAGTGGAAAGTGCATAATTTCACCACACAAACTTAAGTACAAAAAAGAAAGCTTAGTTACAAGGTATAAAAGAACCGAGAGTTAAAAATTTAAGCATTACTTCATAGAATAGTAGAAAAATAAAGAAATAGATAATGGTTTACATTAAAGTCTTTCATAGTTTAACATAGTCTACAGGGAAGGCAAAGGCCTGGTGTTATTATCGCTAGACTATTAATCCAGAAACCCAGCTGATGTTCTGGGGACCTGGGTTCGAATCCCAACACGGCAATGGTGGTATTGTTATTCAAAAAAAAAATACCAGCCTGGAATTAAGAGTCTACAGATCACCATGAAATCATTGCCGATTGTCAGGGGGGAGAAAAAGCATCTAGCTCACTAATGCCCTTCAGGGGAGGAAATCTGCACCCATACCTGGTCTGGCCTACAGCTGACTCCAGACCCACAGCAATGTGGTTGACTCTCAACTGCCCTCTGAAATGGCCTAGCAAGCCACTCAGATATATCAATCTGTACATAGACTCAAAGAAATGGAACTGGATGGATCACATGACATTGACCTAGGCCCCGGAAAAGACAATGGCAGAAACAGCCCTGCTGACCATGCAAAGTCCTCCTCACTAACATCTGGGGGTTAGTGCCAAAAGTGGGAGAGCTGTCTGACAGACTAGTCAAGCAACAGCCTAATACAGTCATATTCACAGAATCATACCTTGCAAACAATGTCCCAGACACTACCATCACCATTCCTGGATATGTCCTGTCCCACGGGCAGGACAGACCCAGCAGAGGGGACTGCACAGTGGTATGCAGCCGGGAGGGAGTTGCTCTGGGAGTCCTCATCATTAACTCCCGACCCCATGAAGTTTCATGGCTTCAAGTTAAAGATGGGCAAGGAAACCTCCTGCTGATTACCACATACTGTCCTCCTTCAGCTGGTGAATTGGTACTCCTCAATGTTGAACAACACTTAGAGGAAGCACTGAGGATGGCAAGGGCACAAAATGTACTCTGGGTGGGGGATTTCATTGTCCACCACCAAGAGTGGCTCGGCAGCAGTACTACTGATTGAGTTGGTTGGGTCCTACAGGACATAGCTGCTAGACTGTGTCTGCGGCAGGTGGTGAGGGAACCAGCAAGAGGGAAAAGCATACTTGACCTCATCCTTACTAATCTGCCAGCTGCAGTTGCATCTGTCCGTGACAGTATCGGTAAGAGTGACCATCACACAGTCCTTGTGGAGACGCAGTCCCGCCTTCACATTGAGAACAACCTCCATCGTGTTGTGTGGCACTATCACCATGCTAAATGGGACAGACTTCGCACAGATCTAGCAACTCAAGCCTGGGCATCCATGAGACGCTGCAGGCCATCAACAGCAGCAGAATTGTACTCCAGCAAACTCTGTAACATCATGGCCCGGCATATCCCCCACTCAACTGTTACCATCAAGCCAGGGGATCAACCCTGGCTCAATGGAGAGGGCAGGAGGGCATGGCAGGAGCAGCATCAGGCATACCTGAAGATGAGGTATCAACCTGGTGAAGCCACCAAACAGGACTACTTGCACGCCAAACAGCGAAAGCAGCAAATGATAGACAGAGCTAAGTGATCACACAATCAATGGATCAGATCTAAGCTCTGCAGTCCTGCCTCATCCAGTTATGGATGGTGGTGGACAATTAAACAACTCACTGGAGGAGGAGGCTCCACAAATATCCCCATCCTCAAGGGTGGAAGAGCCCAGCACATCTGTGCAAAAGATAAGGCTGAAGCATTCGCAGCAATCTTCAGCCAGAAGTGCTGAATGGATGATCCATCTCGGCCTGCTCCAGTGGTCCCCAGCATTACAGATACCAGTCTTCAGCCAATTCGATTCACTCCATGCGATATCAAGAAACAGTTGGAGACACCAGATACTGCAAGGGCTACCGGCCCTGACAACATTCCGGCAATAGTACTGAACACTTGTGCTCCAGAACTTGCCGCTCCCCTAGCCAAACTGTTCCAGTACAGTTACAACACTGGTCTCTACCCGACAATGTGGAAAATTGCCCAAGTATGTCCTGCACACAAAAAGCAGGACAAATCCAACCCAGCCAATTACCGCCCCATCAGTCTCCTCTCAATCATCAGTAAAGTGATGAAAGGTGTCATCAACAGTGCTATTAAGCAGCACCTGCTCAGAAATAACCTGCTCAGCGACGCCCAGTTTGGGTTCCACTAGGGCCACTCAGCTCCTGACCTCATTACAGCCTTGGTTCTAGCGTGGACAAAAGAGCTGAATTCCAGAGGTGAGGTACGAGCGACAGCCCTTGATATCAAGACTGCATTCGACCGAGTGTGGCATCAAGGAGCCCTGGCAAAACTGGAGTCAATGGGTGTCAGGGGGCAAACGCTCCGGTGGTTGGAGTCATGCCTGACACATAGGAAGATGGTCGTGGTTGTGGGAAGTCAATCATCTCAGCTCCAGGACATCTCTGCAGGAGTTCCTCAGGGTAGTGTCCTGGGCCCAACCATCTTCAGCTGCTCCATTAATGACCTTCCCTCCATCATAAGGTCAGAATTGGGGATGTTCGCCGATGATTGCACAATGTTCAGCACCATTCATGACTCCTCAGACACTGAAGCAGTTCATGTTCACATGCAACAAGATTTGGACAATATCCAGGCTTGGGCTGACATGTGGCAAGTGACATTCATGCCACACAAATGACAGGCTATGACCATCACCAATAAGAGACAATCTAACCACCACCCCTTGACATTCAACAGTGTTACCATCACTGAATCCCCCACTATCAACATCCTGGGGGTTACCATTGACCAGAAACCCAACTGGACTCACCACATAAACACAGTGTCTACAAGAGCCTGAAGACCAGAAGCTAGGAATACTGCGGAGAGTAACTCACCTCCTGATTCCTGAAAGCATGTCCACCATCTACAAGGTACAAGTCAGGAGTGTGATGGAATACTCCCCACTTGCCTGGATGAGTGCAGCCCCAACAACACTCAAGAAGCTTGACACCATCCAGGACAAAGCAGCCTGTTTGACTGGCACTACATCTACAAGCATTCACTCCCTCCACCACTGATGCTCAGTAGCAGCAACGTGTACTATCTACAAGATGCACTGCAGAGATTCACCAAAGATCCTCAGGCAGCACCTTCCAAACCCACGACCACTTCCATCTAGACGGGCAGCAGATATATGGGAACACCAACACCTCCAATTTCCTCTCCAAGTCACTCACCATCCTGACTTGGAAATATATCACCGTCAAAAACCTGGAATTCCCTCCCTAATAGCATTGTGGGTCAACCCACAGCAGGAGGACTGCAGCGATTCAAGAAGGCAGCTCACCACCACCTTCTCAAGGGCAACTTGGGCAAGAAATGCTGGCCAGCCAACGATGCCCACATCCCACAAATGAATTAATAAATAAAAAAATCCTAGGAAAATAAAGGATTAAGTTAAAGTTCAACAGTCTTCGATGAGTCCGCCACTTATCTTGCTCTGCTGTCTGTTCTCATTGCTGGCGCACATACCGCTGCCTCTTTGATCTCTTCTGGTGCCTCGGGAACATGCCCAGGCAGAATCCATTCACACACCAAGCCGAGGCACCACCATGAATCACCTAGAGACCAGCTGACATACCGCTGAGAGATAAGGTTGAGAACCACCGAGAGATCAGGCCAGGACTCGCCACTAGCTGTTGAGAGACAAGGCTGAGAACCGCCGAGAGACCAAAGGGGGAAGAAAAGAGAAAAAAGAAGGAAACAGAAGGAGTGAAGGAGCTCCAGGTGGAGCGTACTCCTCTGCCGCCATCTTGAACAGACTTTAAATTTTGTCCAGGGTCAGAGACAGGAAGCTATACCTATGAGTGAGAGTGGGGCTGCCAATGTAATGGTGAGGTAGAGAGCGTGCCTCGAGACTGAAAGACCCTCTGAAGAGATTTTTAAAATCTTGTTTAATAGAAGAAGCGGTAGCTGACAGGCCATCATGATGGAAGTATAACCTGTCTATTGAACTGCTATTGGCTGCATCTATGGTCCGCAAGCTTTGGTGGTGTGAAGGGGTTGGAATTCTTCTGTGTATGGAATGCTGACCCTGTACTGATCTGCTACCTGGAAGAGAATTTCTGTGGGCTTATTTTTAACCTCTTTTCTGGGTGGGTAGATGTCACCAGCACTTCTCCAAACCCACTGCCTGCCCCAAAATTCACAGCAAAACTGGCTCGGGAGGGGACAATAATAGGAGACCAGCATCATGGCTGGCAGCAGGATACTGTAAACCATTCTGTCTTGCAACCTGCATCTGCAGCCCTCTTGAATATTTGGTCTGTATTGAACAAATGATAAAGGGAGAAGCCAGTAATGCATGCTGATCTTGGCAGCGTGCCAAGTAAGTTAAAGCGATTGCTCTGAAAATAATTTTCACCACTGTCAGATCACCCCTTACATTTCCTGGCTCTAGTGGAAAAGTCTTAATATCTCACGTTTTTCTTCATATTAGCAAAATTGATTGCATTCTTCCACTAAGTGAAATGATCATGAGCCAAGCCCCATTCAGACTGCAGTGTATAATCTGATTTGATGCTTCCGCATTGTACAGAGTTAGAACTGTATTTCAAAGGTGATGGAGTAGAGTTTCTACTTGATTTTCTAGTTTTCAGTGTAATTTGTCTAACCCAGCATAGGATTGTAGAATTCAACGTGTGAATCACATCAGACAAAAACCAAGTTGCTGCAATCTTTTGCCCTAATTTAAGCAAGATTGGGACTATTAGGAGATTTCCCAACTCAGGAAACCTGTCTTAACACCGATGGCTCTGTCACATGCAATCATTGAATGGATTGAAATCTTCTAACTCTTATCTTTCACATCCCATCAAGCCACCACTGCTCCACACCCCTCTCTATACTACTCTGTGCAACCTCATACCCCTGTGATAATGAAACCTATTCAAAGTGTTTAAATCTCCTCAAGTTATCAATTTGTTGTAAAAGCAAATGCATTTCTATTCTACTATCCAGACCAAAGGCAGCTGTTCCTTTACCAGCTGTTCAAACCCCACAACCTGCAAGATTCACTCCCAGTCATCATCTTGATTTGGAAATATGTTGCCATTCCTTCAGTGTTGCTGGGTCAAAATCCTGGAATACTCTCCCTAACAGCATTGTGGGCCTACCTACTGCACACGGGAGATGCAGTATGAAATAACTCCACAGCTGCCGGTATCCTGAACTTTATACATCACTGGACCTGACTTCGTGTTGACCATGCCTCTTACCCTTACAGGCCCATTCCTCTGGTTCCTACACCAAACGTCATCCCTGAAGTAAGCTGTCTCTCTCGCTTGGCGGAGTCATGTGTCCAACATTGGTGTTCCTGATATCATTTTACCCTTCCCCGAACCCCGCCCCCAGGCCTGGGAAGATCAGATTTAAATTGTGATGTGGAGGTGCCAGTGTTGGACTGGCGTGGACAAGGTCAGAAATCACACGACACCAGGTTATAGTCCAACAGGTTTATTTGAAAACACAAGCTTTCAGAGTCTTACTCCTTTTTCAGGTGTTAGTGAGAGAGGTAGTATCAGACACAGAATTTAGAAGTAGAAGATCAAAGGGTCGCGCCACAGTTGATGAAATAAACAAACCTAAGATGCTGTTAAATATTTAATCAGTTAGAAGGTTTTAATTGATTAATATGTATATGTAAATCGCCAAATTCCTTTGAAGTCACTGTCCTGAGAGAACTAAAGGTTTCATCAGTGTAAATAAGAGGTGACATTTTAGGTCAGACAATGCATGTTAGGTGTGAGGCCTTGTTTAGAATCTGTTCGTGTTTTGGGTTGGAGCCAGACTGGTTTTATTTCTAAAATTGGAATTTATAAAACACCACATTGACTGACTATCCAAAAGATGTGTGCTTTTTGAACAAAATAGAATGTATCTACAAATACAAATTCACTATACAAATACAGATTTGTGTGTGTGTGTGTGTTGTGTGTGGCAGAGTGAATGTGTGCGTGTGCATGTGCGCGCGTATGTGTGAGAGAGAGTGAGTGTGTACATGTGTGCGTGTGTGTGGTGTGTGTGTGTGTGTGCACGCGCAGAGTGTTCTCCCCATCAGGGACTCTGTTCTAACTATCCATGTAATTGCATGAGTGGTGGTCCTATGATCAAATAGCAACCAAGATGGTTTGGTATCTAGTGAAGCTGTAGGCTGTTTCTTTATGCTTGCCTTCAAAGTTTGGGCTGCACTTTCTGCCAGAACATTGGATGGTGGATGGTTTGGAGCTGTCCTTACATGTCGAATACCATTTGACTTCGGGTAAAACTCAAATTCCCTGCTGATTAACAATGGCCTATTATCTGTGACCAACACTTCCAGGAGTCCCTGTAATGCAAAAGATGTGTGCAGTTTTTCTATCTCTTCCCCATGTTTAATGAATGAACTCTATGCACGTGCAGTCACTTTGATTGGGTGACCACAATGACTCAGAACATTGAGCCCAGAAAGGACCTGCATACTCGATGTGTAAACGGATCCAGGGTTTACCACGCCATTTCCATGAACGTGGGAGAGCTGCTGGCAGTAATTTTCATCTTTGTTGGCACTCTGGGCACTTTCCCACCAAGGTGGCTATGTCCACGCACAATCCTGGCCACCAGACATAACTTCTTGCCAACATCTTATTTTGGAAACTCTTTGCTCCGGACAATAACACTTGCTCCCCATAATAATACTCTGCCCTCTACTGTGATCTAGTCTCTCCGGGTCCAAAACCATTTTTTCAGTTCCATTTGTGACGGCCTTATGATTTCCCACATTATCACCAACTGTTTCAGTTTTGCCAGGACTGGATCTGTCTGTGTCCAAAGTCTGATATTTTCAGCAATGACTGGAAGTGTATTCAGAAAATGTAAGCCATTACGGCTGCAAATAAGGCAAAGAGCATTACAAAAATGGCAAAGAAAGTATGTCCAGAATGTGACCAACAGATTCCTGTTGCCTGTGAGTCAAGCCTGTGTGGATTCATTTTTATTGGTAGAAGACTACTGAATGTTAAACTGTCTGAGAATTCACCACCGCGTAATTTAGGCAACAAATCAGCAACTAAGAGAAGGAGAACAGAAAGGGCACAGTGAGAGAAGGCAAATTCTCCTCTTACCAAAGACTTGGAAAGTAGAAAACATTCCAGATCAGGCAGTCAATCTTAGCAAATTTGGCGGCAATGGGGCTCCCCAAGATCGCCCCCAGGAAGAAACATGATGATGAGGAAGAAAGGCAATAAGAGGAATTTGGTGGTATAGCTTTCAGATGAATGATCCTTTGTATTTTCAGTGGCTTTAGCAGAAATAAATAGAAAAATAATTAATCAAAAATTGATTCTTTGTCAAAGCATACTAAAACAAATTCAGGCTGAAGGAATGGGCAGCACTGCCTTGTCTCTTTAAGTAGACCTAGAAGGGGTTTGTGGTCCATTATTGTTACAAATCCATGTCCGTAAGGTGCTTGTGGAACTTCCTGACTGCGGATATGACAGCCAAACCTTCTTTCTCTATCTGTGCGTATTTAAGCTCTGCATTAATCAAAGTCATGAATGCATGCGCTTTTGGGTATTTCTCTCCATTGGGATACTTATGAGCTAATACACCCCAATGCCGTTCGCATGTCATTGTGTGCCAACACCTTAGAGGATGATGGCTGTTTCTTCACTTCCCTGAAGGTTATGGCTTAGTTACACAGCCATTTCTAAAGTTGACCCCTTTTTATGGGTTAATGCAAAGGTGCCAGGGTAGAGGCCATGTTGTGTATGAATTTTCCATAATAATTAATGAACTCAAGGAAAGACCTAAGCTCCAGTACAGATATGGGAGCCAGGGTACATTTGATCGCCCACACTTTATCTTCCAAAACGTGTAACCTGGTCTTGTCGACTCTGTAGCCCACGTTGGCCACTTGGGGTGCCTGGATGACACATTTTTCCCTTCTGAGGCATATGCCCCCCTGGGCGAAAAGTTTAAGGACTACCTCCAAGTTCTCTAAGTGCACCTTGTTGGTCTTCCCTATTAATAGCATGTCATCTAGATGAATGGGGACCTGAGGTAGACCTTGTAAAATGTTCTCCATAGCCGCTGAAAAATTGCTCAGGCTGACAATATCCCAAATGGCAGTCTCGTATATTGCTACAATCCCTTATGGGTATTAATTGTAACATACTTCTGGGAATCCTCATCTAATTGCAATTGCAAGTAGGCATGGCTCATGTCCAGCTTTGTGAATGACAGCCCTCCTTGCCAGCTTTGTGTATAAATCCTCTATGTGAGGTTTTGGGTATTTATCCAGCTGCAAAAAGTAGTTTACTGTTTGTTTCAAAGCCCCACAAAGGTGAACTGATCTGTCAGGCTTCACAATCGGTAAGACTGGTGCTGCCCATTCCACAAATTGGACTGGTTTGATGACTCTTTCGCTTTCCAGCCTTCTGATTTCTGCCTCTACTTTTGCCTGGAAGGCAAATGGCACTGGGTGGACCTTGCAGAATTGCTTCCTGGTCAACATGCAAGGTGGCCTTGTCTGCTTTGATAGTCTCTCGACCTTCCTGAAAAACTTTCGGTAATTTAATTAGGACTTCACGCTTTTCTAATTGAAAAATGTTGAGCTAATTGAGATGAATCTTTCTCAACCAATTTCACCCTATCAAGCTTGGACCTGAGCTTTTTACTACAATCGGTGTTAACTGAACTAGCTGCTTCTTATAAGAGACCAAAACCGAAGTCGTACTGTAAAGGCTTCCTGGTCTAGGTCGCAGTCTAGCCGAGGTCATATGGAAACTTCAGGGTTGGAGTCGAGAGTGAAGTTTGTAGGGGAGGTGATGGCCTAGTGATATTATCGCTGGACTGTTAATTCAGAGACGCAGATAATGTTCTGGGGACCTGGGTTCGAATCCTGCTATGGAAGATGGTGGAACTTGAATTCAATAAATATCTGGAATTAAGAGCCTAATGATGACCATGAATCCACTGTTGATTGTCAGGAAAAACCCATCTGATTCACTAATGTCCTTTTGGGAAGGAAACTGCCATCCTTATCTGGTCTGGCCTACATGTGACTCCAGACCCACAGCAATGTGGTTGACTCTTAACTGCCCTCTGGGTAATTAGGGATGGGCAACAAATGCTGTGTAGCCAGTGACGCCCTCATCCCATGAATGAATTAAAAAAAAATAGTGGTTCTGCGACCACTGAAATGGCTGCACTGGTATTGACCTCCATTAGAACTGAGTGACTATTTAATCAGACATTTACTTTGGTTGAGATAACAAGGTATAGAGCTGGAGGAGCACAGCAGGCCAAGCAATATCAGAGGAGCAGGAAAGCTGGCATTTCGGGTCTAGACCCTTCTTCAGAAAAGGACTTGTCCTGTTTTTTATTTACTTTGATTGGTTTTGATTTGGATGTTGCTCAGCAATTTAACTGTTCCAAACTAGGTGTAGGTGACCTTTCCAGGATGAGCACTCTCCTAGATACCGGTCTATGAATTTCTTACTCAATTTACATCTAGTGGAACTCTTTTGCTGCCTTGAGTTCACATGCTGGCAGCAACAATGGTTTGCCAGCCCAGATCCTGAAGAAAATTTTAACTGTTTGACTGTGACTTGGCTTTGTTTTGTGATTTTGCTGTGGGCTGACCCAGAGTCCCTCTGTTCAGGATATATCCTGAATGAAACTATGCAATTGCCCTCACTCAAGTGGTGTTCCCCAAGCTCAGTCGGACTGGCGAGGGTGTCCACCTCCATCAGAAAACCCTACAACTCATATGCGCCATTTGCCTCATTTTTCAATGATCTAGGGGTACAAGTTCATAGTTCCTTGGAAGTGGAGTCACAGGTAGACAGGGTCATGAAGAAAATTTTCAGGGTGGTGTAAGAGTTGGAACATTTTGTTGCAGCTGCACAAGACGTTGGTAAGGCCACATTTGGAGTACCGTGTGCAGTTCTGGTCATTCTACTATAGAAAGGATATAACTAAACTAGAAAGAGTATAGAAAAGATTTATTAGGATGTTACCTGGGCTGGAAGGCTTGACTGTAAGGAGAGGCTGGATAGACTGGGACCTTTATCTCTGGGTCGTGGGAGACTGAGGGGTGACCTTATAGAGGTCTATAAAATCATAAGTGGCACAGGTAAAGTATTGATTTCAAATAAACCTGTTGGGTTATAACCTGATGTCGTGTGACTCCTGACCTAGAGAGGGTTCAGAAGAGATTTAACAGAATGTTGCCAGGCATGGAATATTTGAGGTATAAAGAAAGGCTGGGAGATAGTAAGAACTGCTGGTGCTGGAGTCAGAGATAACACAGTGTGGAGCTGGAAGAACACTGCAGGCCAGGCAGCATCAGAGGAGCAGGAAAGCTGACGTTTCGGGTCGGGACCCTTCTTCAGAAATGGGGGAGGGGGAAGGGAGCTTTGACATAAACAGAGAGAGGAGGGGTGGGATGGTGATAGGTGAATGCGCTGAGGTCTTTCAGGAGGGAGGAGGATAACTTCTTCATGGTAGGCATCCCTAGCTTCTCCAGCCCCACCCCTCCTCTCTCTATTTATGTCAGAGCTCCTTTCCCCCGTCCCCATTTCTGAAGAAGGATCCCGGCCCGAAACGTCAGCTTTCCTGCTCCTCTGATGCTGCCTGGCCTGCTCTGTTCCTCCAGCTCCACACTGGATAGGCTGGGACGTTTTTCACTGAAGACTAGGAGGTTGAGAGGTGACCTTATAGAAGTTTATAATATCATGACGGGTATAGCCAAGGTTAATAGTAGGTGCCTTTTCCCTAGGATGGTGGATTTCAAGACTAGGGGGCTCATTTGTAAAGTGAGAGCAGAGACATTTAAAAAAAGACATGAGGGGCAAATTTTTTTACACAGAGGGTAGGTCATGTGTAGAATGAACTTCCTGAGGAAGTGGCAGGTGCAGCTTTAGTTACAATGTTCACGGACACTTAGATAAGTATATGAATAGGAAAGGTTTAGCGGGATATGGGCCAGGACTAAGCAGGTGGGGATTGTTTAGTTTGGGATTATGTTCAGCATGGACTGAAGGGTCTGTTTCCGTGCTGTATGACTCTCACCTCACCTCATCTCTGGAATTTATTTATTTTGTCCATATTTGGACGAGGCTGTAATGAAGTCTGGAGCTGAGTGGCTTTGCCAAAACTCAAAAGGGGACTCCTTCACTGGTACTAATGGATTGTACATTTAACAATCCTTTTAAATTTCCCTTGGTAGGCAAATTAACTGTAAGATTTTAATAAGAAATACAAATTGTTATATGTTAACTAATAACGATGCCTCATTTGTTATTAATAACACAAGTCATAATATGTGAAGGCAAAACTTTATAAGTGGAAAGGATGTGGCCTTTATCATATGGTGCAATGTTTGTTCTCAAGTGTTTGAAGCAGCTTTCACGATGTTGCAAAATGCTTTTCCAGATTGCATTTAGTAACTTCATAAACAATCAATATGAAACAAGAAAAACAATTGGAATATGGGCAGTAATGCATGCCAACTGCAGAAAACTTTATTAATCTGCGCTAATGGTATGCATCTGCATTTTCAAAGTCACTGTGACTGAACTGCATGTAAATTTCCAAATGGTGACTAAAAATAAAGAAGAAATCATCAAATGTCATCAAAACTGTCAAGACTACAAATAATTTGAACAGTTGATTATGTGGACATATAGCAGATTTTATTGATAAAATCTCATTACTAATTTTGTAGATATTCCAATAAAAATTTAGGTGTAGAATATTTCTGTGTGCTGTGTGCTCTATTAATGTGTCTCACAAATCACATAATACTCATAAATTGTCAGTATATTTTATGAACTGCAGACAGATAGTCAAATGCCTGCATCCCTATTTTAAGAGACTCCATATTATTTACAATATTGCTGAGTCTTGCAATCATCAGTAGGTTTAGAATTATACTGGTGCACAAATGCAATCTCATGCTGTCATATAAGCAGATGCCTATCCTAGAAGATGCTGGCAGAAATCTCCAGGCTCAGTTTTAATGACAAGAACATTGTATGTTATATTCCAGAGGCGCTTCTCAATCCAGATGAAGGAACTTCACAAAGTGCAAACATTTTAAATCTTTTTCACTTCTTTCCACAGTTGGATTTCCAACAATTTCACAATGCTGAAAAGTTTGTAACTCTTTTGTGTCTAGTTCCTGTGATTGTTTTGCTTGATAAGGCTTTCAAAACAATGAGTCATTTCAAACCCTAACCACTCATAGGCTCTGTTTTATACATCAGAGTTGAAACTCTTGGATTTAAGTGTCTGAATGGGTTATTCTTCTCTATTTGAGGAACAAGATCAGTTATAAGAATT